AGCCTTCCAAGTAGCTGGAACTACAGGCATGTGCCACCATGCCTGGCTAATTTTTTGATTTATTGAAGAGACGAGGTCTTGCCAAGTTGCCCAGGTTGCTCTTGAACCCGTGAGCTCAGGCAGTCCTCTCACCTCGGCCTCCCAAAGTGCTGGGATTATAGGCATGAGCCACTGCACCTGGCCTTGCATGTTTAGTTTTTAAAGAGACTGCCAAACTGTGTTCCATTCTACATTCCAGCTAGCAGTGTAGGAGTGATCTGGTTTCCCCAAAGTTTTTGACCAGCATCTAGCATTGTCACTATTTTTTTATTTTAGTAATTCTAACAGGTGTGTAGTGATATAGCCTTGTGGTTTTAGTTTGGACTTTCCTAATAGCTAATGATGTTGAACTTTTTTGTTGTTATTTTTTATTTTTGAGTTAGGGGTCTTACTCTGTTGCTCAGGTTGGAGTGCAGTGGCACGGTCATGGCTCACTGCAGCCTTGACCTCCTGGGCTCACTTGATCCTTCCACCTCAGCCTCCTGAGTAGCTGAGACAACAGGCACGTGCCACCATGCCCAGCTAATTTTTTGATTTTTTTGGTGGAGACGGAGTCTCGATATATTGCCTAGGCTGGTTATGAACTCCTGGGCTCAAGCAGTTGTCTGGCCATGGCCTCCCAAAGTGCTGAGATGACAGACATGAGCCACTGTGCCCAGCCTTGAACAGCTTAAATATGCTTATCATCTGTATGTCTTCTCAGTGAAATATCTCTTTATGTCTTTTGCCCCATTTTCTCATTGAATTCTTAAAAAATTATTGAGTTTTGAAGGTTCTTTACACATTCCAGATACTGGTCCTTTGTTGAATATATAATTTGCAAATATTTTTTACTCTGTAGCTTGTCTTTTCATCCTCTTAATAGTCTTTTAAAGAGCAAAAATTTTAAATTTTGGTAGTCTAATTGTGGTAGGCTGAGTAGTGGCCCCTGAAAAGATGTATGCATCCTAATCTTTGGACTCTGCAAATGTTACATTATATGGCAAAAAAAAAAAAAAAAAAAAAAAATTTGCAGAAGTGATTAAACTAAAGATCTTGAAATGAGGAGATTATCCTGAGTTATTGGGATGGACTCTACATGCAATAACAATATCCTTATAAGAGATGTTGAGGATAATTCAGCATGGATGGAAAAGGAAAATGCAGTGTGACCAGGGGGGCAGGGACTGGAATGACGTAACCACAAGCCAAGGATTTCTGGTAGCCACCAGAAACCGGAAGAAGAAGGAATGATTCTTCTCCTGTAGTCCCTGAAGAGGGCATGGTCCTACTGACACCCTCATGTTGGTCCAGTAGTACTGAGTTCAGACTTCTGAACTCCAGAACTGTGAGAGAATACATTTCTGTTGTTTTAAACCACTACTTTTGTAGCACTTGTTACAGTAGCCACAGAAAATGAATATAACAATGTATCACTTTATCCTCTTATGGATCATGATTTTTGTGCCAAGTGTCAGAACTCTTTGCCTAACCCTAGATCCGAAAGATTTTTTCCAATGGTGTTTTCTAAAAGTTTATCATTGTGTTTCATACGTGGCTTGTGATCCATTTTGAGTTAATATCTGTATAAGGTGTGAAGTTGAGGTTCATGTTTTTGTCTTTGGGTGTCCAGTTACTCTGGCACCCTCTGTTGAAGCAACTATCTTTCCTCCCGTGTTTGTCTACTTGGGGTGCTGTAACAAAAATACTGGAGACTGGGTAATTTATCAAGAGAAGACATTTATTTCTCACAGTTCTGGAACCTGGGAAGTCCAAGGTCAAGATGCTGGCAGGTTTGGTTGTCTGGTGAGGGCTGCTCTCTGCTTTCAAGATGGATGGCCCTTTGTTGCTGCATCCTCCAGAGGGAAGGAATGCTGTGTCCTCACTTAGTGGAGGCAGAAAGGCCAGCAAGTCAAACACTGTGTGAAGCCTCTTTTATAGAGACCTTAAGCCCATTCACGAGGGAGGGGCCCTCATGACCTAATAACCTCTTAAAGATCCCATCTCTCAATATAATCATATCGGTCATTAAATTTTAATACCTGATTTTTGGAAAGGACACATTCAAACCATAGCACCACTGCCGAATTGCTTTTGTTCCTTTGTCAAAAGTCAGTTGGGCATAATTTTATGGGTCTATTTCTAGGTTCTTGATCCTATTTCATTGATCTATTTGCCTATCTCTCCACCAATACAACATGGTCTTGATTATTATAACTGGATATACATCTTGAAGTTATAGACTAGGTAGACTGATTTCTCCCACTTCTTCTTTTTTAAAAAAAATTGTTTTACCTATTGTAGATCCTTTGCCTTTCCATATAAATTTTATAATAAGGCCAGGTGTGGTGGCTCATGCCTATCATCCCAGCACTTTGGGAAGCTGAGGTGAGAGGATTGCCTGAGCCCACAGGTTCGAGATCAACCTGGACAACTTGGCGAGACCTCATCTCTACAGTAAATAAAAAAATTAGCTGGTTGTGGTGGCATGTACCTGTATTTCCAGCTACTTGGAAGGCTGAGGTGGAAGGATCACCTGAGCCCAGCAGCAGGTCTAGGCTGTGGTGGTCATGAGCGTGCCACTGCATTCCAGCCTGGTCAACAGA